CGGGGGTGGGATGATCTTTCTGACACTTGCAGATGAACAGGCAGGAATTTAGTGGTCAGGAGGTCTAGTTCTGCTAAATAGCCGGGGCCTACTTAGACGCTCCCAGCGACAGAGCTGTCTTTTATTAGAGAACAGCTCAAATAAGTGGATATTTAGGTCTTTATTTAGAAGAAATCTGCCTCCTTACCACGTCTTCCCAGTGGTTCTGGTTCTGCCCATGGGAGCCACCTGGGAGAGTAGGACTGAATGGTGTAGTTGTTAGAAATATGGGTGTGGGAATAGGACACATGGCAGGTCTCTGCAACTACAGACTCGCCCCTTAATCACTCCGAGCATCAGCTTCCTCACCGAGAAAATGGAGATGATAATAATGCATACTTCACTGGATTGTTGTGAGGATTAATTAAGATAATGCAGGGAGAGTAAGTCTCAGGATGCCTGGAAAAAGAAAAGATTAATTCATTGTATCTATTATTCTAGTTTAATCCCTTAGCCACATGACTGTCTTGAGAATTGAGACCACGGTATTCTGGCCTACAGACCAGGCGAGCAATGATTTCAGGGGAGGGTACGGCCTCTGCCTCCATTAAGCAGAGAACAGGTAACGGTGAAAGGTATACAACGATGTATACAAGATGTTTGGAAACACATCTCACTGGAGCTGCAAGTACAGGCCTTCCCAAGATTAATTAAGATAATGCAGGGAGAGTAAGTCACAGGATGCCTGGAAAAAGAAAAGATTAATTCATTGTATCTATTATTCTAGTTTAATCCCTTAGCCACATGACTGTCTTGAGAATTGAGACCACGGTATTCTGGCCTACAGACCAGGCGAGCAATGATTTCAGGGGAGGGTACGGCCTCTGCCTCCATTGCCTACACTCACCAGTGATGAGGCTGTCCACAGGGCGGTCGGCATGCAGCCAGGTGGCTGATGGCCAGGCGGCCGCCACTGGTGAGGAGTGTCCGTCGTAGGCAGAGAAGGAGAGGTTTGCAGCCGGGGTGGCCTCAGCCTGACTCCCCTTCTGGCAGGGGGCAGCTGCGGGTGGGAGGCTGAGAGGGTTCCACTAGGAGCAAAGGAGCCCATGGCTCAGGCTCCTTGGCCAAGAAGAGACGACTGGCTACTCGCCATGGGTGAGAACCTTCTGTGCTGCAAACCCTGACCATGCCCTGGGAACCCCAATCATGGGCTCAACTCCACTTCTGACTGGACCCAAGACTTTCAACCCACAGCCACTCAAACCCTGACCTCACGCCTCCTGGATTTTCCTCTACTCGTTTCCCATTGTCAGCTGTTCTCCATTTGCAAACCATTCCCCTGCCCCATCTACGCTCTACCTTTCTCAGCCCTGCTCTCTGCCCCAGGGGCTTACCTGTAAGGACTACATCACCCAGGTTCCTTGCCCTCTGATTGTTGACCAGCCAATGGGAGGCTCCAAGGGAGACTGAAGGACTGGAGAAGAGAGAAGTCAGAGTATTGATCTCCCAACTCCCTGCCTGCCGGGCCCACTACTGCCTGTGAGGCTGTCGTTAAGGGCACATCTGTTAGAGGATTCATCTTCCACGACTCTAGCTCTTTTGGGGCCACAGTGACACTGTTCCCTTCTGCACAGACAGCTGCCTGGGGTTGCCAGTCCCAGGGCCACTTCGCCATCCCTTGCTGGTTCTCCTGCTCCCCTTCCCCCCTGTAAAGGCTCCCTGTTAAACTCTCTTCAGTTAAACCCTTTCTGAGTGCAACACCTGTTTTCTTCTGGGACCCTGACTGTTACACTCTCAAAATCTTTGATGCCCTACCTCACTATCTCCTCCATGGAACACTAGTTGGGAAAAACAAGAAGGCAGTAGAGCAGCGGTTCTCAACCTGTGGGTCGCGACCCCTTTGGGGGTCAAACGACCCTTTCACAGGGGTCGCCTAAGACCATCGGAAAACACATATATAATTACCTATTGTTTTTGTGATTAATCACTATGCTTTAATTATGTTCAATTTATAACAATGAAATTGGGGGTCACCACTACATGAGGAACTGTATTAAAGGGGCGTGGCATTAGGAAGGTTGAGAACCACTGCGGTAGAGGAAGGGAAAAATTAAATTAAATTCACCAGAAGGCCATCCAAAGCCAAGGCCACCACCCACCCTTCACCTTCTCCCGGTGTGGTGATCAGCTGCTTCTTTTGCACAGCATTTAACAAAGCACTTCCATATCTTTCATTTAATCTCACCCTCCCACCACCACCTTAGGTAAACAGATTAGGTATTAGCCCCATTTCAGATGGGAGAACTGGGATCAGAGGGGTCCCATGACTTGCTCAGGTCCACAGGACTATGCAGCAGAGTTGGCCCTGCCCTGTGTGTCTCTGAATCAGTCCCAGGCTTCAGTGTGTTTCTCCAGCCACGTTCAGAAGGGAATGGCTCAGTGTCCAGCCACAGCTGCATTGGGAAGGCATTAGATGTAGTGATTCATGCTGTTGTCTCAGAAACTCTCCTCCTGCCTTCCTCTGGGACTGAATGTGGCCTGACCTGGGGATGAAGAGTCTTCGGGGACTCTTCTGTCGCATCCAGAGCTCAGCCACTAGAGGCCCACTAGAGGCTTGGGACCTAGAGAACAAAGAGACCCTGAGGGGGAGTGGGCCCAATGAGCTGGCACAATCAGGGCTGCAGGGACCAGCAGGTGCCTCAGGGGCACTCTGGTGGGGGAGAGCGGGCCTGCTGGTAGAGGTGAAGAAGCTGGAAGCTTCCAGTGCACAGCGAGGGGAGGAGATAACACTCCCTTGTAGGCCCTTCTAGGGGCGTCTGATTGCACCCAAACATCTTTATTTTCATATGGAAAATGTCAAACATGTACAAAAGAGAATGTTATAGTGAACATATACAAGCGTCTGTAGTTTAATGAGCATTACAAGAAAGAAGAGTACAAAGAAACCCCATGCATAAATCATCTGCTTTCAACAATTATCAACTCAAGGTCCATCTTGTTCCACCATGCTCCCACCTCTCTTTGCATTATTTTGAAGTGAATCACCACATGGCTTCTTTTCATCCATAAGTATTTCAGCTTGTATCTCTAAAAAATAGGATCAACACCCCCATAACCACAGTATCTTTATCACACCTAACAAAATGAACAATTATGTCATAATATTATCAACTAGGGGCCGGGTACATGAAAATCATGCACTCAGGGGGGAGGGGTGTTCCTCAGCCCGGCCTGCACCCTCAGTCGGACATCCTTAGTGCTGTTGTGGAGCATCTGCCTCCTGGTGGTCAGTGTGTGTCATAGCGACCGGTCGTTCTGCTGTTTGGTCAATTGGCATATTAGCCTTTTATTATATAGGGTTATCCAGTATCCAGCATTCAAAATTCCTGATTGTAGCATAAATTTTAAAAAATAATAAGATTTCTGTTTCTGTTATCTATTGCTATGTGGCAAACCATGCCAAAATTTAGTGGTGCAGCACTGTGGCTTGGCAATCTGGGTGGTCCTTCTGCAGGTCTCTCTCGGGATCACTCACCCAGCTGTGGCCATCTGATGGCTCAGTGGGGCTGGAGGGCTCAAGGAGAGCTGTTTCACAGGGCTGGCGTTTAGTGCTGGATGCTGGCTGGTTTCTGCTATCTATTACTATGTGGCAAACCACTCCAAAATTCAGTGGTGCAGCACTGTGGCTTGGCAATCTGGGTGGTCCTTCTGCAGGTCTCTCTCGGGATCACTCACCCAGCTGTGGCCATCTGATGGCTCAGTGGGGCTGGAGGGCTCAAGGCGAGCTGTTTCACAGGGCTGGCGTTTAGTGCTGGATGCTGGCTGGGGTGTCTTGGTTGTCCTCCACATGGCCTCTCATCCTCGAGGCCTGGGCTTCCTCACAGCTTTGTGGTCCCAGGGTTCCAAGACAGCAAGAGAACAAGCTACAGGCTTCTTCAGACGTAGGCTCCAGAATTTTCGCATCATCACTCTGTCGCATTCTGTTGGCCAAGGCAAGTCACAAAGTCAGCCTAGATTTGAGCCAGAGGAGAACAGTTTCCATCTCTTGGTCGGAGAAAGAGCAACATTACATTGCAAAGGGTATGTGGACACAGGGGATCTGATTCATTAAGGTTCGTTATTATAAAATCGACCACCATCTCTACATGGAATTTGGTTGACGTGGCTCTGAAGTCTCTTCCAGTGTCTAGGTTCTTCTTCTGTCTCCACCGCCCTGCAATTTATTTGTCATGTAAGCAACTAGGTCATTTGTAGAGCTTCTCGCAGACTAGATTTTGTTGATTGCTTCCTCGTGATGTCATGTTCTACTCTCTGTCCCCTGTATTTCCTGTAATTGACAGCTAGATCTAGAGGTTTGATCAGATTATCTGGTGGCCTCTTTTTTGATGCCACCCTTAATCAGTGGGTTCAGGAGATGTCAGCCTGACCCCTCCACTGCCAGTTCCCTGTCAGCTTTTCATCAGTTTCGTCAGCAGCAGCCACTGAAGATTATTGCCTAGACCCCTCATTGCATCTCAAATACAATCCAGACTCTTCCTGCCTGGTCCTGAGCCACTCTCTGGTCTCACACCCTGACACGCTCCCCATTATGCTCTGGCTGCCTTATGATGGCGCCTGCACACTCTTGCTTTTCCAGCCTGAAGGTCTTCGTCTCTTCCTATTCTTTCTGCCTCTTCCCCTCTTTCAGCTCCCAGCTTAAATGTGGTCTCGGAGAAGCCTGACCTGATCATTCTATTTAAAGCAGGTGCCCACTATCATCTCTCTACCATCCTGTTTATTTTCTGCAATCTGTCAATATTTTATTTGTTTTCAGGGCTATTGTCCCCCCACCCACCCTCGAAAGCTCCTAGAGAGCAGGATTATCCCTGTCCTGTTGGCAGCCATATTCCCAGCGTCTCATCAGTGCCTGCCCAAGTATATTAGTTGATGATTGTTGACTGAATAAATACTTGTTTGAAGAAGAAAAGGAAGAACAGGTGAATCCTGACACTAGATGACAGGATCCTATCCAAAGCTGGCGTTACTGGTGTTGGAAGGTCTTCTCCAGGGTCCTCCAGAAAGAACCCTCATCGCAGGGTCTGCTGGGAGCCTCCCCAGGCAGCTCAGCCCTGCTGAGCCTCCAAATCAACTCTGAATCAGTTTCCATGACCTCAGGGAAATCTGGGGGTGCAGATGGGTAGAGGAAATTGCCAGAAACTGTCTGGCTAGATCCCCGTCTGCGTTTTCTCACTGGCTTTCATTCAGCCTCAGAGAACGGCTTAGTGAGCTCACGTTCCAAAATCTCTCTGGGAATGATGCTGCCCATCTCCAAACCCTTGGCTGAGCCTGGGCATCTGTCTCCACTCCGGCCAGTTTCCCGCATTGTAGACGGATCCTTTCTCGAGGAGGAAAAACTTCCTATTCCTGGCAACTCCCCTGGGCTGGGGGGAGAAGGGGGGAAGGTAGGCAGGGCTCCCCCTAACCTGGGCTCCATGCTTGGGCTCCATGCCAGCAGCTGGAGACTTCACTAACACCTTTTTTTTTTTTTTTACAGAGGAAAGGAGAGGGAGAGTTAGAAACATCAATGAGAGAGAAACATCGATCAGCTGCCTCCCGCACAACCCTCTCTGGGGATGTGCCCACAACCAAGGTACATGCCCTTGACCGGAATCGAACCTGGGACCCTTCAGTGCACAGGCCGACGCTCTATCCACTGAGCCAAACCAGTCAGGGCTCATTAACACCTTTGACTTGTCTTTCTGGCATCTGCCTGGTGCCTTTGTGGATACATTACAGCCTGTGAAAATTTCATCTCCAAACCCAATTAAGCCCTTCTCCTGGGGCAGCTTCTTGGAGGTCTCAGGATATAATAATGTTCGCCTCTAGGGCTCTTCGATGGTCTCAGAGACCAAGCCCTGGCTGCTGAAAGCTGAAGCTGGGATGGGCGGGTGGGGGGTGCACCCGTGTGTGCGTCCCGGACCAACACCACCACCTGGAACTTGTCACAAATGGAAATTCTTAGGCCTCGCCCCTGATCTGAGGAATCAGAAACCCAGCTGTCTGTTTTAATGCATCTTCCTGGTGATTCCAATACATGGTCCAGTTTGAGAATCACAGAACCAAAGGACTGAGACCAGATCCCCTGCAGGCAGTGCGTACACACAGCCCTCCTCTGCCTTCTTCCTGGTGACTCCGGGCGACAGAGTGAATGTTTGTGTCCTTCAACATTCATTTGTTGAAACCTAATCCCCTATGTGATGTCCTTGGAGGTGGGGCCTTCAGGAGGTGATTCTATCTTGAAGGCAGAGCTCTCGTGAATGGGACTGGTGCCCTGTGAAGAGCCAGAGAGCTCCCTCGTCCCTTCTCTGTCAGGACAGAGAAAAGACAGTAAACCATGACGAGGGCCCTCACCCCATCTGTGGGTGCCTTGATCTTGGACTTCCCAGCCTCCAGTACTGCGAGCAGTAAGTTTCTGTTATTCATAAGTCACCCAGTCTGGGCTGTTCTCCTCCAGCAGCCTGAGCAGACTAAGAAAACCTCACCTCTGTGGGAACTCTGAGTTCTCCTCTTTAAAATGGAAACACACTTCCTGGCTGTGACCTCCGGTGGCTCAGGTCACCTCTCTGGGAACTGGAGTCCTCACTGATAAAATGAAGAAACGTTCACACGTATTGAAAAGGGGTTGTGGTGAGGAGCCAATGAGATAATGAGAAAACTTGGAGAATGCCGGGTGCATGACCCTTATTAGGGTTAGGCCATGAGCAGCAGTTCTGACTACTAAACTACACAATGGTTGTGAAGATAATATTTTTATAATACTCTTGGTCTGGGCCTTTCTGCAATGCCTCCTGTGTGAGAGAGGAAACAGCACCAAAAAATGCCCCGAGCATGGTCAGTCTAGGTATCTCCAGGGAGTTCACTGCCTTCACACTAATAACTTCATCGTTATCGCCACCTGCCTGCCGGTCCTTGGTAACACGCAGGAGCTCAGCCCTACACTGGAGACCTGGGTTCCCCATTCAACACCCACTTGCCGAGAGCCTCCTGGGTGAACACAGGCTGGGCCGGGCACAGGGACCTGCGGAAGAACACAGCATAGGGGCTGCTGAGAGCACAAAGCGGAACACGGTACGAATGGCTGAAGGGCACACGAAACAAGTTCAAGTTCGTGTAATCTCAAAAATGCAATTTTAAAAGAGCGTCAGGGCAACCTTTCCATCAATCAGATTGTCAGAGATGAAAAGTGCTCAGCGAGGGCCAAGTGTGGCTGTGCACTGAGGGGGTCAGGGGGGCACAAGGCAGCTCAGCCTTCGAAACTGGGACACATCCAGCCAGTGCCCTGACAAGGGACCTGCTCTCCCAGCCAACACTCCACTTAGGGATTTTCCTGAGGAGGAGGGCTAATGGTGCGGGGGAAATACTGACCAGGGTAGTAATGGTTACAAAACAGTATGTAACCATGCGTGCCTTAGAAATCTACATTCTGTATAAAAGTGTGTGTGTGTCAATTCACCATAGCTAAGATCTGGAAACAGCCTAAGTGCCCATCAGTAGATGAATGGATTAGAAAACTGTGGTACATCTACACGATGGAATACTATGCTGCTCTAAAAAGGAAGGAACTCTTACCATTTGCAACGGCATGGATGGAACTGGAGAGCATTATGCTAAGTGAAATAAGCCAGTCAATGAAAGAAAAATACCACATGATCTCACTTATTCATGGATAATTGAGACCATTATACGGGGAAAAAAATGAACACATATGTAATACCCTTTGTAATAAAAAATAAAATTTGAAAAAAAATAAAATAAAATAAAAAAATAATAAAAGTGTGTGTGTGTGTGTGCGCGCGCGCGCGCATGTGTGTACACACTAGTAAATGACAATATAAAAGTTTGCCCACAGGGGATGTTTCAAGTGACTTTCCTTTTCACTAACTTCCATTTTGACCTTTCATATCAGAAGGAAGTTCTGATCAATATGATTTAAAAGCTGGTTCTAAACTCTGACTCACATCAAAGTCACATGGTTTTTAATAATATAGGAAACCGCCACCCACACGTAGTCACACACTGAATCAGAGTCTCTTGGGGTGGGGTCTGGGCACCGGTATTTCTCTTAAAAGCTCTCTTAGTGACTTCCAAATGCAGCCAGATTTGAGAACCACTCAATTACACAGTCCCTCGCCTCCAGGAACTTGCAGGTGGGTTTCGTGATGCTTAACCCTTTGGGGGTCACCAAAGAGACCCTCATGCATTTGAATTCATTTCACAGATGCTTTCCGGGGCTTTGTCCTGATATACCAAGGCACGGTCTCTTTCTACATGGAAGTGCGTCTTTGAACGCTTTCGATCCTCTCTCAGAGAAAGCACTCGATGTTGTTCACACACTTTCGGGGGAGCAGTGGGAATTTATTTGGGTTGTGGCCCACCTTGCACACATGACCCCTTCTTCTAGCATTGTGACGTTTCCCTCGGGGAGTCAGCCTCCTCCTTACATGCAACTTTCCAGGTACTGTCAATCAGGGGCCTGCACCCACCGCTACCCAAAGGATGGCCAATCTGACCTCTTTTGCTTCGGATGTGACTCTGGGTCCTGGTATCACAGCTTTTCTTTCCACTGGGTGACCTACCCATACTCTTTCCAACACATTCCTATTGTTGACCAGTTAGCCAGAGCCAGTTTCTGGTGGGTTCAATTCCCAGCCAAGGGCACAGACCTGGGTTACAGGAGGCAACCAATTGATGTGTGGGTCTCTCTCACTCCCTCCCTCCCTTCCTTCCACCCTCTCTAAAAATCACCCTCTCTAAAAATGGGGGGGGGTGGGGAGGGAGAATATCCTTGGGTGAGGATTAACACACACACACACACACAGACACACACAGACACACACACACACAAAGGAAAAGCAAGGCTCTAATGGTGCAATTTCAGTTATTAGCGAGAGGAACAAAAGGTGTTTGAGGAGAGACTGCATTTCATTCTTTTATATTTGCATCTTAAGTAGAACTGGTAAAAATTAGTGATGTTATCAGTTCCACTCTCTGTGCCTCGGTTTCCTCATTTGTAAAATCAGGGTTTATCAGCTGCTCACCCAGGCTATTCCTGGCTCTAATAACCTGGGACCTTCACAATAGAATGGGCCACACCACAATTGGAGCGGAAATGCTGCAACTGTTGCCTCAACTCACAGCGGGCAGCAGGACAGACTGCATCGGTCAGACTACATCAGTGAGAACCAGACTGACCCCTACCTGGCCTCTGCCTCCCCTTCCATTCCCCACTCCCAGCCGGACAGAAAGGTGTAGCCGTCTTCTGGAAAAAGCTGGAGAGCTGCATTTTATGGGGGCTGCCGCCCAAGTGTCCATCCTTTGTCCCCAGACCTTCACGCTGTACCCCAAGCTCAGTGTTACCATCTGTTAAATGGGGTGGAGTGACCTACCTCTTGCCCACCTCCCAGACTGGATGGGCAGCTCCAGGGGGATGAAATGCTTTACAGAAAAGAACAGGGTCCAGTGTGTCTGGAAGCATTTCCATGGGCATGGAAAGCAGAACCCACTGGAACTTCTAAGATGCTCCTGTGTCCTGGGCTGGAGTGAGACCAGCTGGCTTACTCCCCTCCCCTCCTCTTTCCAGTGGCCGCCTTCCCTGCCTTGGGCCCTTTCCCACAGCACACCCACCCCCAGCCAGTGCAGTGTCCATCCTCCCAGAATGAGCCTCCCTCAGCCACAGAGTTCTGAGGCCCAGGCAGCTGTGGAGGCCGCTGGTCTGGGGTTGGGCTGGGATGGGGTGGGCAGTGGATCTGACTACTGGCCTCTGCTACTTATCACACAGCACAACACCACCGCCAAGGCCCGGGGGGAGGCCTGGTGGAGGCTACTGCCTGGTTGGCCCCAGCAGCCCTGCAGGAAGCCCCACAGGTGGCAGTGTCTGACCACAGGTATCAGGAGGAGGCTCCTGGGCCCTCAGAGACGTCCAAGCATCCCCGCTTCTGCCCGGGTCAGCCCCCCTTGCTCAGGCTGGATACTCAGAACTCGGGGGGAGACAGCTTCTAGGTGGAATGACAAAGTTCTTCCTGGTGTCCAGTTGGCTTGTCTTCCTGTAACCTGCCCCCATCTGTCCCAGTTCTGCTCCCTGGAACCACCCAGAGCAAGAATGAGCCCCATCCCCGAGTTCATCCCCCATGGCCCCCCTTCCTCCCACCAGGACACCCCAGGTGCTCTTAGTGAGAGGGGTGCCAGGCCCATCTCACTGTCAGCCCATTTTAATTCGCCCCATGATTTTCCTCAAGAACACAAGCCAGATCTCCCCCATTAGAATTGTAGGAAACTCATTTTTTGGATCTAAATCCAGGATTTCGCATTTCACTTACACTTTCACTTCATTTTCTTGGTTCGGATCCAGCATTCCAGCATGTTGAGATAACCCCACATCTTCAATCTGTTGCCATGTGGGTGTAGTGGCTTTTGCACAGATTTGATAAGCATAACTTTTATTTTCCTTTGAAGTTATTTAACGTCATATCAAGATCAGAGCTTGAGAGACCTCTATGCTTCATTCAAGCCTTTTTAATATATATATATATTTGATTTCAGAGAGGGAGAGGGAGAGACAGAAACATCAATGATGAGAGAGAAATGACGCTCAACCACCGAGCCACGCCCACCTGGGCCATTAAAGCTCTTAATGAAAGCCTGTTGCCAGTCCTCCAGGCCCCTTTCTATGTCTCCCCCGCAGTTCAGTTCGTGGAAGGTCTCTGCAGTGGCCTGCTGAAATTTCCTAAGTCATCTTCCCACCTCCCAGAAACCCAGTCCGGAAGAGGAAATGCGGTAGGTGTGGCATGATTTGTTAGTGAGCACCCCTACTGCCTTCTATTGAGCACTACATTATGTTCTTCCCTTTTGAGAAATTTTATTTTTATAAAAAAAGATGTGCTTATTATAACATGATGTGCTTATTCTAAAACAGTCCCCGTGGCCAATGCATTTGTGATGCTTCTCAGCCCAAAGGTTCTAGGGGGTGGACAGTCCCTGTCCCTGCAGCCTGCCGTCACACGGCACCCAGGACTCTCTCTGCTTTGCTTTCTTTGTTTGATGCCATGAACAGGAATCACCTAACAGTGCAGGAGAGGGGCAACCTTCACCAATGGCGAGGGGCAGACAGCAGTCAGCTCCCCACCTTCTGGGGCAAAGCTCGGCTCTGCGTCTTTCTCGGAGGGTCTTCAGAGGGGAAGAACCCCTAGCTGCCCACAGCTAACTCAGCTCAATAATGCCCCCGTTGCGTTCCTCTCTCCCGCTCCCAACTCACTCTCCTGAGTTCTGCTTCCACGCATGATCTCCCCCATCAACTCCCTGTACCCAAGTCTTGGTCTTAGGGTACGCTTTCAGAAGCAGGAGAATCCAAACACAGATATCAGTGACTCTCTCTCTCTCTCTCTGCATGTATTTTACATACATAAACAATAATAAGCCCATGTACTTTTGCCTAAAGGGGATCATACGACGCGTGTTCTAAAACCTGCTCTTTTTGATTACTCACAGTAGGCAGTGAACATGTTTTCATACCAGTAAGTAAAATGCTAGACACACTTCTTAGTGTCTGCATAGTATGCGGTTGGAGGTGTGTCTGACCTTTGACTTCTTGACTTGTGGACATCTGGATGGTTTCCAGCGTCGCACTGATGAAATGCTCTCGTGCACAGGGTGTCCTCTGAGGAAACGCTGAGCTGCGTGATTGCTTATTGTCTCCTACACGTTTGATCACTTACCCTGGAACTTTAATAGAGGTCAACGTTAATCTTAGGCGCTCAGAGTTTTTTAAAAAGCTACCTTCCCATCCTTTGTGGAAATCAGGACATTTTCCATCTTCAGTTTTCTGGCGCTTTGTTCTCTGTCATTTCCTTTAAGGCCATGATTACATCTGCAAATGCCTCCAGGACCCTGAGATGCCATTGATCTGGGTTGCAACTGTTTGTGGCTTGGTGCCTTCTTATCACTTATTTCGGGTTTCAATGTCCTCCTTAAGCCCTTTATGCCACCATTTGAAGTAACATGGCCTGTGTGCTGCCCTGCCTGCCTTCCTTTCTGAGTTAAGGTTACACCACACATCCCTAGCTCGGAGCAAATTCCTTCTTGGTCTCCTCACGGAGACTCTGTCTTTGCCAGTTTCCCCAGCTTCCGGTCGCTGGGGCTTGGTGCGTTGCTAGCACTATTTTTACACATCCTACCAATCTTCCAGATCCTTCTGCATATTTTGTTTGTGAGGCCAGTCTCCAGTGGAGGGAGGTGGAAGGGTGGCTGCAGAGAGGCTGAGGTCTAGACCAGAGTACAGTCCCTGCCTGGGAGGAGGAGGGCCCCTCCCTTCCCCAGCCAGTCTCTTCGGAACACTGCCTGCAAAGTGCTTCGAAATGGTCATTAGCGAGCTCTCCCCAAGGCAGGTGATCAGTGCTGTTATCTGCACTTCTAAACGGCAGGGAGGATTCTAAGGGCTGACACACCCCCGCAGAACAAGTAGGGCAGCAGGTCAAGGAGAGGCCAGGAGCACTAAGCAGCTAAGCTCCAATCACCGAGACTCACCGAGGGCCCCAGAAGGCACCCGGGCGGAGCCAGGAAGCCAGGGCGTTTGAGTGGGCTCTGCCAGGAGCTCCCCGCCTGTCCTCAGGCAGGTCACTCCAGCCGTCTGTGAAATGGGAGAGGTTTGGACCAGAACGTTCTCACTCGAACAGTTTACCTTTTCCTCTAGAGCAGGGGTGGGGAACGCTTCGCCCTCGAAATAATTTGGTCTGGCCCTGCCAAGGCACGAGGGGTGAGTTAGTTAAATGTTTGACCCAACATAGGAGGCTGATTTTTAAGTTGGTAATTCTGTGTGGCCCGAGAATGATGTTATAAATATCCACATGGCCCTGGACAGAAAGGTGCCCCACCTTGCTTTAGAGAACCCAAGGCGTTTCCTTCTCTGGGGCTGGGGCATGCTGAGCTGCAGCGCTGGCGGGGGTGGGGATGGGACCACTTGCCGCTGTCCGTGGTCCTGACCTGGTTGCTGCCTGGAGCAGGGATGGGGTGGTGAGGGCCTCTAGCTCAGGGTGGAGTTCAGGTCCGCCTCCACAGTATTAGGAAGAACATGTCTTTGGGAAGGCGTTGAAGCCTCTTGAGGACAGTGGGCAGCTCTCTGGGGGCAGCCGACTAATGGCCGACCTTGGCCAGGTTGCCCCTGTGCAGCCCCTTCACTTCACAGACAGGAAATGGGGCCAGAGCGGGGAAGGGACGCGTCCACTCACAGAGCTGGTAGGGTTGTATCAGGGGTTAGATGAGTTCTTCTTGCTAACGTGCTCAGACACTCCAGGTACCCCTACGCTACGTGTTTGTTAAGTGAAAATAATAGTGTCTGGCCTAAAACTCCAGGCAAACTCAGGTTGGCCTTTCAGATTTAGAAAGAAACCTAACTTGAACCTTGAACCCCGGAGTGCTTTCCAACTTGCCCGCCTGTCTGCTCTGGGGGTCTGGGCTGGGACTTGGCATGTCTTACCAGCTCGCTGGTGTCAGAGCTGCTGGTCCAGACCCCTCTTGGAGAACATGGACCCCGAGGAGTGAATTGCTAAGGGTGTAATTTCTGGCATCAGTAAGGGAAAAATTGGGGGACAACAGGGTTCCTTTATCCTTCCCCAGGTGTCTGGATCTCCCCAGGGCTGACAAGCTGCTCTGCAGCAGCATTAGGGTAT